CTGGATTGACGTAAAACTCGTAGTCAATGTAATCTATGTCATCCATAAAAGAATTTTGAGCCAAGTGTACGGATCCCTTTCCTTTCCCCTTCGGGCATTGATCGCGCAAATGCTCTGTGCTACCGCATGTATGACACTTCATAGTATTACCAGAAGCGTCCCTAGGGTTGCCCCTCCGCCCCTTTCCCTTACCGGAGGTCCGCCTGTGACCCCGACCTTTGCCTCCGATAAGAACTTCTTCAAAAGCCATATCAGTTAAGGACGTGAGGAAAGCAGTAATACCCCTACCATGCATACGGCGTCTGCGACCCCCTTTACCACGACCCTTTCCAAATTGTTTGAAATGTCGGCGTACTGCACGTCTCACCTTTCTGACTGGTTTCTTCATAAAGCGCCTCCAACGGCGTTTTGATTTGCGATAAGCCATAAAGGCGGCTTCCGCCCTTTGCTGTTCAGAAAGGTGAGTGTCATCCGCTGGATAGTCATTACCAGCAGAGACTATTCCATTGTGCTCATCGTCAGATGAGGTATCTGTGTCAGTGCCAGATTCAAACGGTGAGGGTGGCTGAGACCATTGAGCGGATGACTCCGCTTGGCCCCAGAGGGTTGTGCCCGAGGGCGGGCTTGCAGTGTAGGCGGCGCCTGGCGAGTAGTTCGACCAGGCGTTCGCCTCAGCTGCCTCTGCCGATGCCTGGCCGGTCTGCCCTAGAAGGGCAGTGGCCTCGTTGGGCATATCGGCTGGGTCAGCCCAGGGATTTGGCTCGCCAGGACCAGCGGGTGACCCCGCAGTCGTGGCGTAGACACCTGCATGTGAGTGGTGCCCTGTGAAGATACCCGCTATGTTACCAGGAGAGCGCTCGGCAACATGTCCGTAGTTCCTCATCCTGGTCAACAGCCTGTCATAGTCTGCTTGTGTTCGGGGCATCTGATGATTGAAGGGCTCAAGCAGGTGTTGGGCTCGTGACGCGCCAACGCCTAACGCTCTGAAGAGAATCAGCGTTAGGATCTGAAAGTTGGGGATGACAAAGCCAACAGAGTTAGCCTCGTCACGGGCCATCTCGAATCGAGCTAATACTGAGTCGATTCGCTCGCCCCTTTCGACGCGGAAGTCGATAAGGGCCGTGCCAGAGTTGAGCTGGCGCTCATCTTCCAGATTTTCAAATTTGGTGCTCAGTAAGTACAGTATGTAGGTTACTGCATCCGTTGGCTGTCCATTGACAGTTACACCATAATTGATGATCTGGGAGGGGACCTGCATGGCGATACGACGAGCCAGACCTTGAAGGCCTCGTTGTAGTGCTGCAGCTTGTTGTGGTGGTGTCATATTGCCGCTCGTTACGTTTAACCATGCATGTACTTCGCGAACGTATTCGCGGAAAGGCGTAGTACCGGCAGGGTCCCATGAAGGGCCAGTAGTACGCGTGTCGTCCATCCCCTGCCGCATGTATCCCACAGCACATCCCATTATCACCCATAGAATGCCGAAGATAGTTATCTTGATCCAATGCATATGCATTTCGGCTTCGGTGATTGGTTTAGGCTGTGGTTTGTCAGGCTCTGGCGTGGTAGCCGTGAGGCGCCTGACCGGCACGGGATGCAGGTGGCCCCGCTGCGGGTAGCCCCGCAGGGTGACCACGTTCTCGATCGAGTTGCCGATTGGCATCTGGTGGAAGTCGGGAGTGAAGTAGCGCAGTGAAGTAGGAGAAAGCGTCTCGAGTTCGCGGGTTGCCCCGCTAGCTCGATCGCGGACTGGCTCCGCTCCTCGCAGAGCCGGCGCAACATGGTATTCCACCGTAGTAGTAGTCCACCAAGTTGTGCCGTGGATTACAGGAATCAGAGCGAGAGCCAGCCACACGAGAGTGTAGCCAGCTCCGCTACCAAGTCGAAAACAAGCTGGTAAGCTTAGGTATGTAGTCCGCCTTAGGCGCTCCCATATCCCAGGCTTTGGCTCATATCGCATGAGCAAGAGAGCGAGACGAAGCATGGGATCTGGAGTAAAGAGTAGGATGGGCATCGTCAATGGAAAAGGGATTTTCCGATCTCTGATGCAAGTAGTGCGCCTCGGTGAGGCACAGTCACATATTAGGCCGGGCCCGGCTTGAGCCAGGCACGGCAGCGGTACATGCTCGATTTATACCTCGCCTTTAACCTTCTCCGTTTAAAGTCATTTGTCGACACCTCTCACGAGGATCGTGGCCTTCGAGGGGGGAGCCGCAATCGACTACCCCCCCTCCCGCCCCAAGAGGCCCCCAAAAGCCCCCCAAGAGGCCCTGGGGGCCCCCAAGACGCCGCCAAGGAGCCCCAAGAGACTCCCAAGAGGTCCCCAAGAGGCCCCCAAGAGGCCCTAAAGAGGGCTCCAGAGCTGGCGGAATGAGCGAAGCGATTAAATAAAAGGAGGGGATATTCGAGAGAACGAGGACGACAGGGAGGAGAAAGAGGATGAGGCGTACCAGGGATCGTCTTCGAGAAGCCAGCGTCGAGGAGGAGGAGGAGGAGGAGGAGGAGGAAGACATGGGAATGATGACGTGAAGATATAGACACGGAACGAAGAGGAAGACCAGGAGGCGACCGCAGTAGACGGCTGAAAGTGAAGATTATGATAATGATGATGACGATGATGATGATGGTGATGATGACGATACTGATGACGGTGACGGTAATGGTTATGTTGATAATGACAACGACGATGACGATATTTATGTGAATTGTAATGGCGGTGATGCTGATGATACTGATGCGGCTGATGATGATGATGATGATGATGATGATGATGCTCATGGCGTCGATGGTAATGATGATGATGACCATGATGAACATGATGCTGATGCGGATGATGATGATGATGATGATAATGATGATGATGACGATGATGATGATAATGATGATGATGACGATGATGATGATGATAATGATGATGATGATGATGATGATGATGATGATGATGATGATGATGATGATGATGATGACGATAGCGATGATGGTGATGGTGTTCGGTTGCCGATGTCGCCGCGTAAGATGTACCGCGCTAACACCTACGACAACGTCAGATGGCCTCATGACGCTCAAAGAGGGGATCTCCAGACGGTCCAATGCTCCCAAAAGGCGCCCAAGAGGTCCCGAGAAGCCCCAGGCTGCCACGCTCAAGAGAGCCCCAGAGGGTCCCAGGACGCTCTCTAGGAGACCACCGACAAGCCAAAATCATGCACACGCCCATACGGACTCAGTGATTTATACCTTGTTGCCTTGAGGCCCCAGATCGCCCCCCAAAAGGCCCCATGACGCCCCCACAAAGCGCGCGAGGAGCCCCACGAAGCCCCGACACGCCCTCAACGGGGACCCGAAGTCGCTCCCGAAAAGTGCTGGACATCCGTCGACGGGGCCCGAAAAAACTCCAATCACACCCAGGCATCTGCAACAAACCTCCGGCGCTTCCTTCCTGGGCTTCCAAGAACGCCCCACGATGGTTTCAAGATGCCTCGGGACGCTTCCGACACGGGCAAGGAAAGCTCCAAGACTGCCCACGAGAGCCTCCAGAAGGCCCGAGAAGCCCGCAGCAGCCCCCAAGAAAGCGCCAAGGGCCTCCCACAGGCTCCCAAGACCGCCGACGAGAGCGCCAAAGATTCCCCAACCCGCTTTTTTACCTCCGATACCTCCGATACCCTTCTGAGCCTGACGCATGAGCCCACGAGAACGCCAAGATGCCATCCAAAGGCGCTCCAAGTAATCCCAGGAGGTCACGAAAGGCCCCCATGACGCCCGAAGATGCACCCTCGACGCACCAAAAAGGCCCCCAGGAGCTTCCGAAGATCCCCAGGAGGCGCGGAAGAAGGCCTTAGAATGATTACGAAAGTTCAGCGTTCCCGCTCTTCTGGGGCCCCAAGCGGCCCCACTGACCCCCAAGAGAGCCCCAAGACGGCCCCAAAGGACCCCACCACGGCCCAGGAGGCCCCGCGGAAGGGCCCAAGACGCCAGCGGGCGAACCCCAGGTCGGCTCAAGGAAGCCTTCAGACGGCCCTCGAGGCCCCCAAGAGGCCGCAGGACGACCCGGAGAGCCCAAGAAGGACGCGCCCCGACGGCAGAAGAGCGCCCTCAGACGGCACAAGAAGCCCCCAAGAGCCTCCAAGGCGCCCCCGAGACGCTGCCGACAGGCCCCAAGAGTTATGTCGGGCGTGTCCCCCTACAGGGGGGGGTTCGACGAAAAATAAAAAATACCCAACAAATACCCCAAAAAGGTCAAAAAATACTCAAAAAATGATCCCCAGACTATTTTTGGACTATGTTTTGACTATTTTTGGGGTATATTTGATCTTTCGTCGAAAATCCCCATGTAGGGGGACAGGCCCGACTTAATCCAAGAGGCCTCCAAGAGGCACCCAAGAGTCGCCCAACAGGCCCCCAGGGCCTCCGAGAGGCCCGGGGTGTCACACGGAACGGCCTCCCGTGCCTTCCCGAACAGTCGCCACCCAGAATGCTGTGCTGGCACGGTGGCGGAATTCCCGGAGGCAGCTGGACAAACCGGCCAGGCGGACTGGGGTGGGCGGGTGCGCCGCGGTTTGCGAGTCTTGGAGACACATGCCCCCTGGGTGCCCCAAAGACGGCCCCAAGATGGCCTCAGGACGGCCGAGGACGGTCATAAGACAGCCCAAGATGGCATCCAAGACGGCCCCGGACACCCCAAGACGGGCCTCCAGAGGGGCCCCGATGTCCCAGCTCCACGAGGAGCCCAAGGGGGCTCCAGGAGGCCCCCAGAAACCCCAAGGTGCTCAAGAAGCCTCAAAGAAGCCTCGAAGGTGCTCCCAAGAGGCCCCAAGAAAGCTCCCAGGAGGCCCCTCACCTCAAGAAGCAAGTCTACCGAAGAACTGTAATTCCCGCGGGAAACAAGACGTCGCAACCCCCTCCAAAAGCGAACAGGGAACTGACAGAAAGTATGACCCACACACCCTAGACGGTCAGGCACTGACCGCGCTCGAAGCCGCCGTGTCGCGCTGCGGTGCGTGTATTCACGCGTTCAGGTAGGATGTGGTGTCCACCTTGTCGGGCATCTCTGGAATGCTCACTTCGAATCGCTCTTGAACGCTTTTCAACACCTTGGTGTCCTCTTGCGTAGACGAGAATGTCACGGCTAAGCCCTTCGTGCCAAATCTGCCTGCACGCCCAACGCGATGGAGGTAAGCGTCGCTTGTCTCGGGCATATCGTAGTTGATGACGATGTTCACTCGCTCGACATCCATGCCACGTCCGAAAAGGTCGGTAGAAACAAGAATGCGTTTCTTGAAATCCTTGAACGCCTGCAATTTATCCAGACGGACGTCGACTGCCACTTCACCATTGCCTTTCCCTCTCTTACCATTCCCTTTCCCCCTCTTGCTTCGGGGAGGATCCGAGGAGAGCCTATCGGATTCTGGGTGCAAGGTCATCGATGGAAAGTTGCACTCATTTAGCAAGCCATCGAGTGCCAGGGCGCGCTTGACTGACTTGACAAAAATCACAACCTGGTTGAATTCCAAGTTGTCAAGCATGTCAATAAGTTTTTTGTTTTTCTGCTTCTCTTCTAGCTGCACATAATACTGCAGTAGGCCATGCAGCGTGAGCTTGGACTGTGACTCGACGGTGATCTCGTGCGGTTCGGTCATGAACTTTTTACAGATGCTGGCAGTCTCGGGAGTGAGGGTTGCAGTGAACATCATCACCTGTTTCTTTCTCGGCGTCTTGATGAAGATCTGCTGCACGTCGCGGCGCAGACCCAGCTCATCGATACATCTGTCGCACTCGTCCAAAATGAAGCGCTTCAGATTGTCGAGCTTCAGAGCCTCCTCCCGCACGAGCTGTAGTACGCGCCCAGGCGTCCCCACCAACACGTGGCAGCCGTTCTTGAGCATCTCTTTGTCCTTATCGATGGGGTGGCCACCGAAAACTGCACTAATCTTGATCTTCTTGACGAACTGTCCTAGACGCTTGAACTCGTGCTGGATCTGGTACGCGAGCTCCCGCGTGTGGCACAAGACCAAAACCGAGACAGTCTCCTGGGTGGATGCATCTAGGTCCTCTGGCATGTGCTGGTTGCGCGTCAGAAGGGATGGGGCGAGGGGGGCTGGCGTCCAAGAAGGCAGGGGGGTTTTGTAGAAAGGGCCGGCCCGTTGTGAGAAGGAAAGATGGGATACCTTCTTGGAACTCCGCCCCTTTGCCCTATCCCTTCCTGCGCGCGGCCAAATTTGCTGCAGGCAGCTGAGCACGAAAACCGCCGTCTTTCCCATGCCAGACTTGGCCTGGCAGAGAATGTCGGTCCCGAGCATCGCTTGCGGAATGCAGGCGTGTTGCACCTCGGAAGGGTGCTCGAAGCCGCACGCCACGAGGGCCTTCATGAGCTCTGGCCTCAGCAAAGGAAGTGGAGGTGAGCGAAGAGGAGGAGGAGGAGGAGGAGGAGGAGGAGCAGGAGGAGGAGGAGGAAGAGACCATATGAAGAAATACCAGGATGGCAAACAATGTTTTACGGTGCAACCGCAAAACGAAAGTGTGAATAAAACGTGAATAAAACGGGCACGGAAGCTGGCCAGGTTCCGCAGGGCCAAATGGCGGCGGAAAAGGGAAACGCCTAACGGGGCAAGCGTGCACAACATACTGTTCGAATTTGGTGCCCAAGCAAGTCTGACTGTGCCTCGCCGGCTCAGGTGCGCAAGCCGTACCCAAACCAGCGAAGCAAAACGAGTTCTACTGACCATGTCCCTTATTTAAAAAGGGGCCTGCAGCATATTATTGGGTGGAACACGCACTCACTGACTTGCATTCACTCACTCACTTTCCGTCATCTGCTGCCTCACGACACACAGCTCGCGGACGCAACCCTCTCACTTGCATGCTTCGTTAACGCTCCCTGATGACCTGACAGTCGGACGTTGCCGTCGCGAACATCGCCCAAGATATGTGACCCCAGATAGTCCCACCAGCCCAGTGGGCGTCGGTGGTTAAAAAAGTGTCCTCTTCCACCCTCCTTTTTTCCTTCGGGGGGGCTATCACTGTTCCCTATTAACATACACCCCCTCCCCCAGGCGACCGGGAGCCAACCCAGGTCAATGCGGGCCCCCCCACACCATCCCTTCGGTAAAAAACAATACAAACACACACTCTGCCCCCACCATCCTTTGTAACAAACAAAACCAAACACACTCTGTCTCCAAATTCGGAGCATGCGCAGCGAAACCGATGCTGCCTCCCCCCACCATCCCTGTCAAAAAGCAATACACTTGGCGGCGGCGGCGGCTGGGGCGGCTGCGGCGGGGGCAGCGGCTGCGGCGGCTGTGGCGGTGGCGGCGGCGGGGGCGGCGGCGGCGGCGGGGGCGGCGCCGGCGGGGGCGGCGGCGGCGGGGCGGCGGCGGTGGCGGCGGTGGCGGTGGCGGCAGCGGCTGCGGCGGCAGCGACTGCGGCGGCAGCGGCTGCGGCGGCGGCGAATTGGCAGCGGGGGCGGCGGCGGCGGCGGCGGCGGTGGCGGCGGGCAGCGCGGTGGCGGCGGCAGCGGCGGACAACGGCGGCGGCGGCGGCGGCGGCGGCGGCGGATTGGCCCCCAGTAGCCGGCCATCCAAAGACGACTGCTGCATATGCTGCGCTTCGGGCCGCGCTCGGATGTTACGTATGTGTTGGGAGGGCGGGTGGGAGTGAGCGAGACGGCTTGCGGGCGGAGAGGGAGACTCTTGACCCCTCCCCCTACCCCCTCTCCTGGACCTGGACGGGGGTTCCGCGAGGTGTCAGGGCGTCCACGAGGAAGCCAAAATCATTGGTTTAACCAGGATTTTGGCCCCATTTTGGCCTCCTGACGGGAGGATCCCAATTAAAGCTCCCCTCTTGTTTGATCGATCTCCTCTAAGATGGCCCCAAGAGGCGCCCAGGAGGCCCCAAGAGGTCCCAAGATGGCCCCAAGATGGCCCCAAGAGGCCCCCAAGAGGCCCCCAGGAGGCCCCCAACAGGACCGCAAGCGGCCCCAAGAGGCCTCCCCGAGGCACCCAGGACGCCCAAGAGTCCCTCTGGACGGCCCTCTACTCGCCTGGGCGTCGTTTCTGGATGGGCTGGTGGGGATACGCGAAGCGTCTAGAATTCAACCAGTAGCGTGGTTGCTCTCCTTGTTGGTAATGTTTCTATGATGCGAGCTGGGCGCGGCATTATTGTGCTTCTCTTCGTTCCGCCGGACTGTCTGGTGGTCGTCGCCGAGCATGCCGCCCATGACGCTCAAAACGAGGTCGCGGCCGACGCTTCCGTTCGTCATGAAGTCGGCGCGCATGTCCCTGTCGCACCGCAAGATGTCGTCCAGCTGCTTGGTGCGAGGCTGGACCGATAGCCACTGGAGACGGCGTGCCATCCTGTTTTCCGATGGAGGTCAAACAGGGCCCATGGCCAGGACCGGAAACACGGACATGCCGTCGACGCCCAGATCGGCCTGCACCGCGCTGCCTCCTTTCCCCCTCAGCCTCCTGATCTCCTCGGCGAAACTGGGTCCACGGATATCTCGCGTAGCGCAAGAAGGTGCGCCTGTAGTCCGTCAGCTTCGCCGCGGGCTGCGAGCAGCTATGGGCCTAACGATGATAGGCACACGACTCTGTGCGATCGGCTCACGGCGTCGAGCAAGCGTCAGATCTGCTCACCAGCACTGCGGGACTTGCCCACGCGCGAGTATACGGCCCCTCTCATACCGCACCCGGTCTCCTCCTCGCGCTCGAGCCGTCGTTGCGGGCGCGTAGTCGCCCGGCGCACTCCATCGCAGGGAAGGCGATGCGCGCCATGATATTCTGCATGGCCAGAACGACGGAGTTGAGATGAGCCACGCGACGGAAGGGCAGCTTGTTCTTGGCCCTCCCCAGTGCCCCCAGTGCGACGATGTAGACGAAATGGGCCTCCGGTCGGCTCGTCGGCCTTCACCTTGTCCAAGTCGACGTGCCCGACGGGGATCAGGGCGTCGATGTGCTCGTCCTGGTCTGGCGTCACTGCGCCGTCGGCGCTGCGATCCTGGTGGGCTCCGCAGTCGGTGAAGTCGTCGCAGCCCCCCTTCATCCTACCGAAGACGCTCTCGACGTGGCCGATGAGCCAATCCACGCGCCCCCTGTATCCAGCGAACTTCCAGTCGTCAGCGCGCTTGGACAGCATGAGCACTAGCTTCGAGTCGCCGGCACCCTGGGCACTGCACGTCTCGCGCTTGACCTCGAGCTCTGGGCCCCACCTTGTCAGTTCGGAGTTGCACTCTGGCGAGCGCGTGACACTGGCGAACTTCGTGGAGAAATATCTGGGCACATCCTGGCAGCCCGCGCCCGGCTCGACGCAGCGCAGGCATTCGGTCCTCTCGTCGAAAGACTCGTAGCCTGGCGCCTGCCTGAGGATAGCTGCACTGCCAGGTGGCAGGATGAAGTTTACCTCGCGCGGTGCTTCGCCCAGCCCCTGCCCTCCTCGCCGCGCCAGCGAACGTCTCCAGAGATCCAGCGCCCGCGTCGCGACAGCCTCTCAGCGCCGAGCGGCGCCGGGTTATCCCAGCGGTTTTGCCGTCCGATCTCTACCAGCGCACCCATGTAAAACCGTGTCTGGAGTCCACTTGTACTTCACCCAAATGGTGAGCTACTCGAGGATGGCTGCGGCGACTTTCGAACTCCCTTCAGCGACATCGCCGGGGGGGCACCCGGAATTGTTTCACGAGGCCGTGGGCAATATTTCCAAAATTGCTTCAACGTTAAGGAAATGGAACGCGAAACACGTCCGCCCCGCGAACAATTTCAAACAATTGTTTCGCCGGGGGGGGCACCTGCCCAGGCGAGAAAAAATGCCCATGAAATGGTTTAGCGGTCAACAACTTGCCTGGTCAGGATCCCCCTACCCGGCAAATTTTTGCCCGCCAGAGCAATATTGTTCGATATAGCATGTGGGCCAAATGATGCTTTAAATATTTCATATATATATATATATATATATATATTCATATATATATATATATATATATATATATATATATATATATATATATATATATATATATCAGAGTGAGGGGGCCGAACGGTCATTCACTGTCCCTGGGTGCGTGGCTGAAGTGGGATTCCGCGGTGCGGATTCGTGTTGTTGGTGTTGTTGAACATTATTACTTCTAAAGAATAATTATTGTTGGGGCCCCTGGTGCATGGCCCCCCCGCCGCGCCTAGGCCGCAGCCACATTTTCATCATCAGCCACATTTTCATCATTTTCGTGAGGAAGTCTCAGGCAAAACGGGTTGGTCCGGATCCGGTTGTTTTGTTACGACCGTCTTTCCCTTGCAAAAAAAAACTAAAGTGGACATTTCTTGCTCTAACATAACCAAACTTCAAGAATCCCTTGCAAAAAAAAAAAAAAAAAAAAAAAAAAAAAAAAAAAAAAATGGACATTCGCGCGCGCAAGACGAAATCCTTCCAAAACCTTAGTTTTCGTAGCGAGTTTTAACATAAAAGCCTAAAAAAACAATGTTTTTTTCAAAAAAAAATGTCAAACTCATCCCGCGCGCTCTTGCGGATTCGTAGGAAACCCAACACTTTTTAAACATTTCTGTCAAACGGGCTTTTGCGAGCAACTTTTTCGAACTTCTGCAACAACGGTTGCGCACCTGCCAGGGCCATCATCCCTGTCAAATAATACCATGCGGGACACATTCGTTTTTTCTTCGCGCGCGCACGCCGTCGTCGTCGGCCGCGGGGCCCTGAATAGTAGCCACGGTCGTCCGCATGCCACGAAGTGAAGTGTCCGAACGTCATAGGGCGGGAAGCTGGGTGTGGGTGGTGGCGAAGAGTCGTTTGGAAATTTGGTAGAGCTTGAACCGGCCCCCCCACAAAGTGGGGGTATTGCCCGCCTCCTATGAAAACCCTGGCACTGGTGAGAACGGAGTGTCCCCACGTGCTAGTAAGTTGTTGTTGTTGTTGTTGTTGTTGTTGTTGTTGTTGTTGTTGTTGTTGTTGTTGTTGTTGTTGTTGAACATTATTATTACTTCTAAAGAATAATTATTGTTGGGACCCCTGGTGCACGACCCCCCTCCAAAACCTAGGCCGCAGCCTCATTTCCTTCATTTTCTAGCGAAAGCTTCAGAAAAGTGGATTAGTACCGGATCCGGTTTTTTGTTGACGCTCGTTTTCCCTTGCAAAAAACACTATAAAATGAAAATTCTGGTTCTTAGTTGATCAAATTTCAAGAATCCCTTGCAAAAAATAAAGGTAAAGTGGACAATCGTGCGCGCAAGACGAAATCCTTCCAAAACCTTAGGTTTCGTAGCGATTTTAACATAAAAACATCAAAAACCCAATGGTTTTTTAAGAAAAAATTGTCAAAATGTCCTTCCGCGCGCGCTGTCCGAATCCCACAAAACCAATGGTTTTTCAACATT